GCGCTGCATCCTGCTAAGGGTGTTCGGCATCTTGTGCTTACTTCCTTGCGTACGGATGACAGCCGCGTTCGACTTAATTTACTTTCTGGCGCTTTCACTTCCAGAGACAGTTGTCAGCACTGTGTAACTGCCTCGAGGGTGCTTGACCATTTTAACACAACGTGGTNGGGGGGGGGGAGGGGGGGGGTGTTGGACAGGACAACGGAAAAGAGGTCTGGACTATCTTGCGGCCATTTCCTCGACGCGAAGGTATCTGTTGTGGTCGCTCCAAAAGCATCTATCCTGTTGCACAGATGAAAGCTGCTCGCTCTTGTCCAATCTAGTTGCTCAAAAAGTATCTACTGAAGCAATTGTTGCGCAAACGAAAGCTGCGCTCTCTCTTGTCCATCCAAAGAAACGACCAGAACCTCGCTAGTCCCCGCAACATACACGCAGAGCACTCTGCTGCCGGTGCTGGTGCTGCTGGTACTGCTATCATACACGTGACGTGGGAGAGGCACCGACCACACAACTCTTCTTCTCGGCACGAACAAACTCATGAAAACATGCATCATTATTGTAATATGAATCATAAATGCACTACACAATACGCTTGTTCAGGTTTCCACACATGGAAAAGGCATCGTCCCTCCCTCACGTCGTGTACGCCAGCAGGTAAGTCCTCTGTTCCGGCGTCGACTTGTCGGCGACGTACGCGCGGGTAACCCCCAGCGTCCCCGACCCCACCCCCATGATTATCTGCGCGCCGATCAGGGCCGCGGTGGTCCAGGCTAGGGCGTAGGCGAGGGCTCCCAGGGCGATGAGCCCGCTGGCCACCATGAGCACCTTCCGGTAGCCGTGCTTCGTGGAGAGGCCTCCGAAGTACGGAGAGATCATTACTCTGATTGTTTTGTTAATATTGTTTGAACAGATTGTTGCGAAGGAGAGCGAAATACAAGAGGGTGAGAGGAGAGAGACAGACAGACAGACAGACAGACAGAGAGACGCAGCGGGTGCTGGAGTTAATAGAGGTCGGCGGTACGATTGTGCCTTCGGATTGAGGGGGAGCAATGTTGTGCTTTTTGTTGTGCGGGTTGACGGATTGTCGGGGGCTAGCTTTCCCCATCGTAGGTGCAAGGGGTCTCTTGTGTATCTCTTAGCCTCCAACGAAAACGCAAAACTTCCTACCGAGGGAATATTTAGCAAGGTATATACTCTTTCTCAAACTTCTGATTGTTTTACTCAACCTTGAGTAGCCCTTGAGTAAGAATTCCGATAATACTCATGTGTACTCAACAGTTCGAGTAAGTATTTCAAAGGGAAATGAACACAAGTGGGTATACCTACCCCTTTCTCGGACAAAAGTGGGTACTCGAAAATCCAGCGCGAGCGCACTCCATAGGCGGCCCCCACACGACCTAAAACACCTATTCTGACACCTGCGCGACACAGCCAGGAACCATACACAGCACGGGCATCGATTTTTTCCAACTTGCCCGTGCTGTGTATGGTGGACGCCAGCATCGATATGCTGCTGCTGCCCTCACGAGTCGGTGTGCACTGGTCGTGGTGGTGGTTGGTGTTTTAGTGTGTAGCCTACCGTGTATGACACAAGATAACACACCCCGTTGACCAATTTTCGAAGTTCGATTTCTCAACTGCAGGAACAGTCGCGGCGCCGAAAACGGCGGCGTTGAAACCGTCTCGTCGAGAGCTTTTCGAAAATGTATCGTTTTGTTTATGCATCCTCTTCGTCGTGGAGTAATCGAGCTTTAAAAATCGGTTCAGGGTGTGTGTTATATTGTGTCATATACGGTATGTGTTTTGTTGCTGTATGCGCGTCTTTTTGTTCTGTATGCGCGCCCGTTGGTTTTCTTGCACGTTGTGTGTCACGCATTTATTTGTGGCGTTTGCCGTTAGTGCGCTGCTTGCCGGGCTTGCCGCGGGCATCTTCCCGTGCCTGGTATCCTCCCGTGCCGGTACCGAAGGGGCCTGGCATGTGTCTGACATGTTCCTCCGCGGTCGGTCCGCAGTCGGCAGCCATAGATACGGTGTTGCGAGGTTCCGTTCCGAGGCTATTCGATGTTCCGCCATGCGGTGACGTGGACGTCGATTTCCGCTCGATTTCCGCCGTCCGTAAGTGGACAAATGTGGGTTCAATTTGGACAAAAGTGGGTCAAAATATAGTGGGACAAAATTAGTTGACGCCGGTGGGTATACCCACCGCGATGTCGGACAGAAGTGGGCACTCTGGTGAGGCCCTGCGCGCCTCGGCGGTATGAGGGCCAAAGGTGTGCCTGAAAGTGGGAAAAAATCGATGCCCGTGCTGTGTATGGTTCCTGGCTGTGTCGCACAGGTGTCAGAATGGGGTTTTAAGTCGTGTGGGGGCCGCCTATGGAGTGCGCGCGCGCTGGATTTTAGAGTACAGTGGGTGGCCCGATATAGTGCCGGTATGTGCAGAGAAACTTTACCGGCACTATTCAAAGTACAGAACGACTTGATATTCCAGTGTGTGCACTATACCGGCAACCGGCACTATTCAACCGGCACTATATCGGGCCACCCACTATACCCACTTTTGTCCGAGATAGGGGTGGGTATACCCACTTGCGTCCATTTCCCTATTTCAAATATACTCATCAATACTCCGTAGGTTGAGTAAGTTCTCATCAACACTCAGAAGGTGGAATAAGTATTTCAAGACTACTCACGCGTACTCAGATACTTGGCGTACCCAATCATACTCGACGTTGGGGGGTATTTTACACGTAGCATACGGAGATCTCGTACTTCGGTAGCACAAAAAACACAACCAACCATTACAGCTGCATGTATGTTTTGCTGCGTTGCAGTGTGCGGAGGGATCTTGGATGGAAGTCTGAGCGGGTGATGGAAACCGTTTCTTGTGGCGAATTAAGAACAGTCTGGTAACGTTCATGATCATCTCGCTGACCGACGAACCAGCAGTCAGCAGCTTCTGCTGTGTGCTACGCGATAAATTCCCTCGGCTATGCGGTGCTCATACCACATAACAGGCGGACCCACAACGCAGGTGCAATCACTCCAAACTCACACCGCTTCTACCACCGCCCGTGCGTGCACCTCGTTCTACTCGCGAGGTATGATGTGCCGCAACAGCAGTGAGTGTGTGGCGTGTGAAGGTGGTGCATGCAAGCCCCGCAGAAAGTGTCCCGCACCTCTGGCGTCATCATTAGCCATCTTTTAGTCTCGGGGGATATGACCGGATAAAGGAGTACTTTTCCGGGGATACAGCAGTATTCAACCACACTGAAGAGGTCGAGTAGGTATTTCAGGGATACTCCAACACACTCAAGAGGTTGAGTACGTATTTCAAAACTACTCATGCTTACTTAGCTACTCGAGCATTTTACTCATCCTTGAGTATACCCTTGAGTAAGTATTTAAAGAATACTCAACTTGGACTAAGTATTTCAGATATAAATTTACTCATGCGTACTCAACAGTTCGAGTAAGTATTCACGCACAAACGGACCGGGCCGTACACGAGACCAAAACGTTATCAAGGACGTCACATACCCCCCCTCCCCATGGTTGGGCGCCTCTTTTCTACGCCACCAATAACGCTACTATTACGGTGGCACATAGTTAACAGGAGCAATTTAAAAGATATGCGTTTCGGAGTGTAACTTTCGCAATACGATGCGCAGCACAGCAGACGATAGCGCAAATTGACGACAGGGAAAAGGCGGTCACAATAAAAAAAAGACATTAAAAAAAAATCAAATTGCTTGAGTTATGGCTTATCGTGTACCTGAGCAGAGATTCAAAATCGGAAAAAGTTGACGTGTGGCAAGCTGCGTCCGGGGTAAGACTTGTCGACAATTGAATATTTTTGATTTTTGTTTTTCAACAACTGCAGCAGCTGGAAGCAGGGACGCAACCCCTCGCGCACACGCACAGCAATCACACATGTGTGCTGTTGGAACATAGTACACCCAGTGCATGGGTGTAGCAATTGATCACAAGGCTGACAAAAATCTCATCATGGTTCAACCTCGTCGCTGCCATCACCCCATTCTGCGCTTTCCTGCTGGATCTGCTCCCCTACCCCTTCCTCGACATCACCCACGGGCGACAC